CTGGGAAACATTGTGCAATCCATGCTTTCTCTTTGCTAGTAACTTGCAAAACCAGCCACAGTTTCTCTCCTGGATTCCAGACCCACACTGCCCATGGAATATCTACACCTGAATGTAGATGCCCCATCCCCAGGATCCCCTATCCTGAAGTTATTTTTCTCTATAATACCTGTTCCTCCTTTTCATCTATCTATTAGTTAACGGAATTCCTCTAAGACCAAAACTAGAAACCTTTTGTCATCTTAGATTCCCCCACTATCAACCTGCAACCAGCCAACAGTCAAATGCCACCATTTCTATCTTCTATCTTTCTCTTCTTACCACACCACTCTGACATTCTGTTTCTTCCCCAACTCTCAGACACTTGCAAATCCCCCTATCTCATCTCCCTGACTCTAGGTCTCCTAAAATCCAAGTAGTACATGTCAGCAAAGTTAGCTTTCTAAAAATTAAGGTCACTTTTATCTCCTATTTAGCATCCTTCAATGGTCAACTTTATGAGTATAGGACCAAATTCCTAAGAATGGCACTAAAAGACCTTCCCACTGTAGTCCCAACTTATTTTCCAGTCTTATCTCTTGGCATCCATTCACATATGGTTTATGCCAAACCAAACTTCTCACAGTTTTCAAATATATCATGTATGTTTTCATCTCCTTTATACATGCTGGTCTATGTAGTGTTTTTTCCCATGCAATAAATTCTCACTCATTCTTTAAGATACCATTCAAATGGCATCTCCTTGAGTCATATAGAAACTAGTTTCTCCTTGCTGGCACTTCATAAGGTCTTTTCCTTATATAAATCTGCATTATCAAATTCTTCCACCTCTCTTATAATTATGTGTCTTGTCCCCTACACTCCACCCCATAAGATATGGCTTCATTAAGGGTAAGAACCATATCTTACTTATCTTTGCATCTATGGAGCACTTTACCAATATAATGTGTTGCATATAATATGTTCTCAGTAAATGGCTATTGTACAAAAATGGAAAAATCAGAGCCACGATACTGCCCCCTCCCTTTAGGAAACAATGGGGAAAGACTGGAGAAAACAAAGAGTCCTCTTTTCTTCTTTCTTGCTACAATATAACTTAGAGGTTAGCTGTGTTCATCAAAATAGTACAAAATTTTCAGTGCCCCAAATTCCACTTAGATAAAAGGTGCATTTTTAATGTAAATAGCTTCAGTGAATACCTCTCCAGTCCTTCCCATCTTTGTCAGTAAGTCAAACCTTACAGTGAATTAGACTAACCAGATGGCAGTCTTATTACCTATTCTCACAGCAGGCTAAAATTTTCAATAGGGAAGGAGGAGAAAATAGGGAAATGGAGACTGTCAAGGGAGGACAAACAAAGTAGGATGTGGTTCTAGAGTACCAGAGAGCAACTTCAGAGCATAGAACTGCTTAGGGGAGATGGGGAGAGGTGCTGCAGGGAGGAAGAACAGTAAAAGAAATATTCAAATTCAATGATGGAAACTTTGGTAGGTGCCAATTCCTCTACTCCTCCCCAGAGATGGGGGAAACACCCTCTCTCACACTCAGCAGGAGCAGCCCCACCTCTACACATGGGTTGGCCCTTCAGGAGAAGAGCTCATCGTTCATTGTTACTTAACTCCTGTTAACTCATGTAACCTCATTAATTTTCCACCTACTCCTCCCATTATCTTTCTTTTCATCTGATGAGGTGAAGAGAGGGGTGAGCTGGTTTCTGTAGTCCTAAAATGTCAGGCTGCCATAGAGGATCTTATCTATTACCTGGTCCCACCTAAGACATTCTCTCTACTCCTACCTTAACTGCAGCCATGAGCAGGCTCTCTGAGAAAAGGACTGTAAGGAAGAAACCCAGAAGGTTTCCAAATAAAAATATAACATGCATCCAGGAGTGTTTCCTGCCTTGTGAAACCTGCACAAATTCACCTTAAAGAAACTGAAGCAAAAGGCTATCCCTGAGGAGGCCATACCACTAGCACTTCCAAGAATATAATTCAGCATTTGTACTTCTAAACCACTGTTCCTCCAGACTTTCCTATTCTGTCATGTAATATCCACAGCCCAGTTGTGCTTGAGCATTGGAGTAGGCTGCTGAGAGACAAAAAAAAAAAATACTGAAGATGAGACATAAAAAATAAGATTTATTGAGAAATACTTATGGAGATATCCAATGGCAACAGGCTGGCCAGGTGCTTCACCAGAAAGTCCAGTGTCAACAGGATGGACAGGTGCATTTCACATGGTGCTCCCAATGCTTCATCAGAAAGTAGCACCTCCATTCCCCCATGATGCTTTGTCCAGGGGTAGCCACCTATACAGGCACTTCTCTCTCTACAGAGCTCTGATCCAAATGAGTTACCACAGGTAGGAGGGCTTAATAGGTTAGGTTAGAGAAGTAGCATAAGTTAGCTTGCTCTGTCCCGTTATATGACCAGAACCAGAAACTTGACATTCATGCAAGAAAGCAAATCTCTAAAGATAACATTAACTTGCCCTAATTCCCAGCATACATAAGAGAAATCCAGTGTCCTTCAAGATAATGTTTATCTGAATATTCTCGCCCAGACTTGTTCTCATTGTACCTTTAACTTGGCTAGGTTTGGGGGAATGGAAAGTGGCATTCAGAGACATGGTATTTTATTGTCCTCCTTTTCTTTAAGGACAAAACACCAATAGACCACTACTTCTTAGTTCTTGTGCACCTTAATATTCTATCAATAATTAAATAATAATCATTATTTTTATTTTTTTCTATGTCTATAATGGTATATCTAGACACTGCAACATTCTCCTAACTAGTTTCCTTACTCCCAGTCCCTTCCAAACGAATTAGTACACTTCCATCTGGTAACTCTTCCTAAAGCAAAGCTTTTCTGAGACATGGCCCTACTAAAAAGCAAACAGAAGCTCCACATTGCCTACCAATGGTTCTTAATATATTTACTGACCACAAAGCAGCTCAAGTACACAAAATATTCCCTATGGTAACAATTTACCTGCAGTGATGCTTGGCAGGGGATAAGAACAGATTCTGAATCTCAGGGTGGGAGGGTTTTGTTATGTATAATTTGAGAAACTTCCCCTAGTAAATAAATGCAACATAAATATGAGATTAGCAGAATGACAGAGGCACATGCTGAGCACTGTGAATACAGGGCAAAGGTGATATACTCTCCGAAGCACTTTATCTCTTCCCATGATAGAAATCTCTGTATCCTTTCCTGGGAAGGATTGGTCTCTTCTGAGGGTGTTGGTGTATTTTTGGCCTTGATTAGGTTAAAGGGAACTACAATACTTAGTTAGAGATCCACATATTTTATTAACACCCCCACACCTCAGACACCGCCAACACCACCATAAGGACCACATCAAACAGAAAGAATA